GTCAAGAGCATTCCAACATAAATGTTAGTCTGTTTATTTGCTCCTTTGATGTTTACCAGCCTTTCTAACCATTTCTCTCTATTAACTATGGTTGCGCAGAATAACAAAAGGCCTGCACACAGAACTGTTCATGGCTAGGGTGTTTATAATACCAAGGGAAAACTGCTTAGTGGTCTTAATATGTATTCTCCCACATTTTTATATATATATATATATTTTTTGTGATGCAACAGTAGGTTTATAAATTACCTATGGCAGTATTAGTCAGTTAAATTTTTCTCAAGCTGTAATGTTACCAAATTTGTAGCATTGCACTTTATATTATCCGTATTTATAGGTCGTATAGGGGTTAAGGCCGTGCCGAGTGAGTGCATGAGATATGGTAGCTAAAAATAATAGATGACGTACAAAATTGTCACTTTTAAGCCAAGACAGGCCTCCACGCAGCTTAAGTGGTTGCAGATTAGCTCGAAGAGTGCAACAATTTGAGTCTTCTCAAGAAAATTATCAAAGTGCAATGATGTCTCCTGCTAAAACTGCTACCTCATTTGCTATTCTTCTTGCTGTGCTGTTTTCACAAGCCAATGGAAACCCAGCAAAGCCGTGCAACCCGGATAAGTGTAAGCTTCCCGACTGTTTTTGCAGTGGCACCAAAATCCCTGGGAATTTGTCCGCATCCTCGATCCCTCAGATTGTAATGATCACGTTTGATGCAGCCGTTAACAGCGGCGGGTTCTCTCTATACGAAGAGTTATTCAACGGCCAGTTCAAAAATCCAAATGATTGCAACATCTCCGCGACGTTCTTCGTTAAGCACGAGTACACGAACTACTGCATGGTTCAAGCACTGTACAATCAGCGCCACGAAATCGCGGATAACTCCATTTCCCGCCGACTTCCCATCAGTTGGTGGAAAACCGCGACAGAAAAACAACTCACTGAGGAGATAGTGGGGATGAGAGAGATTCTAAGAAAATGGGGTTACGTGAATCCTGAAGATGTGAAGGGCTACCGGGCGCCATACATCCAGGTTGGTGGAAACACAGAGTTCAAAACTCTGCAAGACGCACTCTTTTTGTACGAGTCTTCAATGCCCACTCAGATGTACAGGGATCCTCCGCTCTGGCCTTACACTCTGGAATATCGATCAACTCAAGATTGTGTGATCGAGCCATGCCCGACTGGTAAGTTTATTTCATCTTCTGTGCGCGGAAGTGTAAAGCTCTGGCAATGCGGTTGAGGGGGTAGGGCTTTGGTGATGTAATTTTAACGCGTCTCTGTCGCAGCTCTGTAACTATAAACCAGCGCAGTTCACTCAGCCTCGTTCCCAGGGTCCCTGAACGTGGAGGAGGGCGGGAAGATGAGAGATCCTGGGAACGAGGTTGCAGTTCACTGCTCCCTGCAGGGTTCTAAATTGGATCATAACGTTTCGATTTCAGTTTGTCTAAGTTAAGACTGTAGCTGTGATCATGAGGCGATGATTTGATTAAAAATTTAGATCACTGACTGTTATACACCCTTCTTTGCATTTCTGAATGTCTGTTTTTTCTTAACATATTCTTGATGGGAGTTTGTTTGATAACACATGTTCCAAGAAGTACAGCGCGACATTCCATAGAGAAAAGATAAACATGTTCCAGTTATCATTATTTATTAAACCATCTTGTTATTATTATGTAATGAGCTTTTTCTCATCTTTTGATCATTTTTAGACTGCACTGTTAAATTTCCAGTGAAGATGGTTTAACATGATAAAACTGAAACCGATTTTTGTTTCTGTATGGAATATCGTTCAATATTTGAAAATTTGTTCAGGAGATTTCTTCAGACTGCTCTGTTAATCTTAGATTCCTTTCCTGCACTGTGGGAAGTACCACTGGTTGATTACAACAGCAAAGACGGGCAGTTGTGTAATTTCATCGACTCCTGTACCCCGCCTGATACAGCCCAAGAAGCCTTCGAACTGTTTGACTCCAATTTCGAACGACACTACACGACCAATAGGGCTCCGTTTTTCATGCTTCTAGAGGAACAATGGCTGGCTAATAGCACTTACTTTGAAGGTATGTTCACTTGAAATTTTGCCGTTTGTAGCCCGGCTGTGTCACGGACAGTCTATGTACACCGCAGTTATGTACAGTGGAACCTCGATTTAACGAACCTCTATATAACGAGGTCCTCAGCATAACGAACGATTTTCCTGG